TCATGAGTAGGGGATTATGATATAATTAATTGAGGTTCTGGTTGCGACGGAGCTAATAAAGGACTCCTTCTGCTCTCTACCATACAATGATAGACCGGAGAATGACTAAGATTCATAATCAAATCCTTTAATTACAAAATCCAAGCGCAAGTTAGTGGGAGTTTAGCAGCGGGGTAAGGGAATAAGGAGCCACTCTCACTCTAACCTAGAAAACCAGAAGACTGAGTTTGTTTGGCCTCTAGCCACTGACCAATCGGGTATGAGTGTAAGAAGCACCATGCAGCCCAGCCCCTTGAGGCATGTGAGCCACAGCACCCAATAAAGTCTCGTCCGCTTGCACCTCAGTGAGTAACAACTAATCGACTCAGTTTGCTAGGCTTCCAATAAGTCAAAAAATGTACATATTAAACACGTCACTAGATGTACCGCTTATGCAGATTGTGGCTCGTTGGTTTTCAATGAAAAATCGGTAAGGAAAAGACCCGAATTGTTGGAAAACAAGAACTACTGAAAGAGAAATAAAACTAATTACAGTTACTCTTTTTCCTTCAGAAAAGAAGAGCTGACGAAACAAACATCGCATTCAACATCAGAAATACAAAAGGTGACGGCAATTGTAGTTCCACCGTGGGCCACGGAAGGCCTATCCACACAAGAGAGATTTGCTACTTCACGTCCCGTGTCTAGTCAGCATGACAAAAGGATTCGACCCCCACTGATTTCTGTTTACAGAGGTGAAACGCCAAACCGATCGAAAAGCCACAACGAACTGGCGCACAAAACGAAAAGAACGGATGGTAGAGGGTTATTTCACATCCACACGGACTATCGCAATCAACCACCGTATTACATTATCCACCCTGAGTGGATGAGCGAGGCAGCGACCATTCAAAAACTGGGCTTGACTCCAAGGCCAACACCGATACCCATAAATTCATTATCCGAGAGATCCAATCCCGATTGCGATGTTCAGTATAGTACCCGAAAGACGAAACTCATGGAACACTGCAAGTCCAAAAAGTCTAACGTCCGATGCCAAAGTCTTCCGGCTAGACAGGTGAATCCAATCAATTGAGAATCATGATTTATTTAGAAAGCACAAAACCGAAACGGTCTAATACAGAAAATGTAAAGATTATGTAATTGGAAATACAAGACATTTGCAGAGCAAAATAAACAATTTAGTTATTTCAAAGGTTGATGTATGAAACGGCGAGAGGGGTCATTAAGGTGTTTCGTCACAGTTGGTTGAGGCTTCTCATTGAGTGCTTTCACGGTCCTGTCATGAAATTCGCGTTCATCCTAGAAATGAAAAAGGGCATGGGCCCAGAGGGCCTATCGTGAATACCGAGCGCACAAGTTTAAAAGAACATCAGACCACACGAGAACCCCATGCACAGAAGTTGCGAGAAAAGCAAGTGTAGCATATCTATGATGATAAGTGATAGAACACCAATGTCAATGAAAAAGTTGATCGCAGTCATTTGGTGGACACCAGTTGGGTGAACCCACAGCAAGCAGACCGTCAAAATATAACCAGGGCACCAGAGTAAGATGGCTCAGCCGACACCTGTTGGATACACAAAGCCTGCTGTAATGTTCGGAGATAACACATGCTAGGGCTGGTGATGGACAAGAATGGTAGGTAGTGAACACTGTATTGTGGGAGCAAGCAGAAATTTGAGCCTGTGCAACTCCGATGAAATATGATCAGAAAGATTAGAAAAGCAAACCATAACTTGTCAATACTCTGATCATTTTCGTGTTCTCATGTGATATTGTTAAAATATCATTTAACTCACAGTGCATCGGGATTAAAAGATGTGAGATGTCTGTGGGTAATTGTTCTCGGAAGCCAACATGTAAGAAATGCACATCCAACAATCGTTTGGATTCGCTTCCATTACATGTTCCGGCAAACCGTTCAATACACTTACTACTCCCCGTTCCAAGCACATGTGATAAGGAAATCGTTTCACACCAGGGACTACAAGCTTGTGCTGGTATCCGCGTTTGACGCAGGCATTCGTAAGTGAAGCAGTGATCTTAACATGGGGAAGTCCCTCACATGCAGAATTCGATAGGTCATGATGAGGTCGACTCGTAGGCGAGGATATGCCAAGATATGCAGACTCAGCTTCTCGCACCTGTCCTCGAACGTAAAGCCTCGCAAACTGGGAGTGAGCCTAGTAGCGACGTGTTGGACCCTTTCAATTGTCTGCGCTTCGCCGCGAGTGGTCGGGAAACAGGCGAGCGAGCCGTACTCTCGCACTGGTCTGATGATGGAGAAGAGTGGCAACTTCATCAGACTAGATGCAGGAACTGCGTTGGAGCGTCTAGAGTAGGTGCAGTCTGTTACGACAGCCAGTTCGTGTTGTTAACGAAGTTCAAATCGCACCGTGAGAGTACTCCTAGGTCCTTCACGGAAGGTGTGGAATGTAGCAGTTAGCCGTCCAGTGTAGGTTAGGCCGTCACTATTCATTCCCAGGCTCATGAATGTCGACTGGGATGGGTGGACCGAGAAGAGGACTTCTGCAGACCATATGGAAAGGCGGTTTAGGTCTTGTTGAAGTCAAGCTAGTCATTTGCAAACAGAACACACGATGACCGAAGAAGCTGAGGTAGGTCGTTGATATAAATCAGGAATAATGTGGGGCCCAGCAATGTGTCTTGGGGTACATCACTGGTCGAAGCATACCAGTCAGTTAGGTGGCTATCGACTTGTACCCTCCAATATCGTCCAACGAGAAAATGGTGCAGAGATCCACCAACACTGCACACTCGTAGCTTGAGGAGGACCTCATGGTTTACCATGTCGAACATTTTGCTGAAATCGATGTTGATCACGTCGACGAGCTTCCCTTGGTTCACTGCTTAAAACCATTCATACCTCATCACGAGTAGGTTGGTAATGCATGAGCGACAAGGCGTTAAGCGCTACTGTGCGGGCGTCAGGAAATCTTTTGGCCGGAACAGCTTTAGCCAAGAGTACCTTCCAATCTTTTCTGCTAGGTTGGCCAAAACAAGTGTCAAACAAATTGGCCTGTAGTTGCCTACTTTGCTGGGGTCATCGCCTTTCGGAATCGTCCTTACCGCTAAGCAGTTCCAATCAATTGGCAATGAACCTTCGGACATTGACTTGTAGAGAAGATAGATTGCCAGCTTTACGCCGTAACGGCGCTTCGCTGCCACGCGTCCACCGCCGCGAGGACGACCACCCCTAACGCGGATTCGAACAGGTGACCTTATGGTTGCAAACTAGGCGCGCAGACCATTCGGTCACCGGCCGACACTTAGACCTGTGGAACAGGTCAGTTACGGCAGGCGAGATGGTGGCAGATAAGGACTTGGAAATCAAGGGATGGAGCCCTTCAAGCTCACTAGGTTTTGTGTCGTCAGAGTGTCGAGTAGCTGACGTATCTCTTACACGCCACAATCCAGACTGTTGAGGGTGGTGCATACCAAACTCGACACAGGCACTTTGTCATTTGCAAACACAGAAGCACAGTGTACCTCCAAGGCGGACGCACGCTCAGTGCTGGAGGTTAGGAGCTTTCCGTTCGAGGCCTCTATCACTGGTAGGTTACCTGTTCGCTTCAGGCGTTGCTTCACGTACGCAAAGAACCTCACTCGAGTGGCCTTTGCTGCGATTGCAAGTAGCCCTTCGCAACCCCTACGCTTGCTCGTTTTCACACTGTTGAAGATATTTCGCTGCTTTTTATACACCTAACAGTCGTCCACAGAGCCAGAGATAAGGAATTTGTCCCATAGGCTGTGCCGCTGCCAAGCAAGATTACCGTATTCCTTGTCGAGGAAATGTGATTTGGCCAGTCTGAGTTTATGTCAATTGAGAGGCACAAATTGGTTACAAAATGAGCTAATTCCACTCTGTATAACTGACCAGCTAGCCCAAACAGACGCAGATTGCGACAGTAACCAATCCACTTTGCTCACGGCTCAAGCCGTCAAAATCCATCTCCCAGTAGTTGTAATCTGGCTGCATTGCGTGGGATTGTTGAAGCGGCAGCTCCATGTTAGCAATAGGAACTGAGTGGTCGCTTGCTGCCAGAGGCTCCATGACCCGAATGTCATATACAGGTTGGTCACAACTGGTCAACTTCAAGTCTAAGCACGATGAAGTTGAGTGCGCTGTTATGCGCGTCGGTTGATAGATGTTATGCTGCCCCAGTTTCGAGTACCATAAAAGCAAACATTGCTTCGGCCTCACAAGAACCAGTGATAAGTTCAACATCAGGTCAGCGTATTCGAGAACAATTGAAATCGCCTATGGGTAGAAAATGACGGTGATTCATGTGGTCTCGGAGGTGCGGCAACCAGTCCAAACAGCGTCTCAGAGGACCGCGATAGAATGCATTCACGAGCAGCGCTCTGCGCGTGAGGTGGGTGGAGCACTACGACTACTACCCTGATATCGCTCTCAGGGTTTCCAAGCAAAACAGCCACATCGACTGTTGCTTACGGCTAAACAACGTTGTCAAAGTTTTGCTGTGGATGTGGTGCATTTCTATAGTGTTGCAGCGTCATTTGAAGTTACAGTCCCTAGCAAACTACGCGGCAGATCGGAAGATGGACGCATACTTCGCTCAATGTCTTGAACGACGACAATGGAGCTACTGATATGACAGTCCAATTAAGGGAGCGAATTCGAAGCGGCACCGATGCAGGTGATTCGGACGCGAAACGACGTGCTTGGTTTTTCAGGCCGTTGCGTTCGAGTCAACCTAATGAGCCTTGTAGCTTCTATGTATTCGTTATGAAGCTGTCTGTTTTCGATATAATTCGCCACCTCAACTCGAGCGAATGTTAGATTTTTCGGCCTTCACTTTCTGCTGACGTGAATTGGACATAGCAGCAATGTTCCCTAAGAGTAGTCACAGCATTAGTACCAATTGCTTGAGTACCTACTTTACGATCCACTGCCTTACTGTGAACCGGGGGTATCACATCAGTGAACTTCATCAGCTTTTATCTAGGACCGAGCGGCATAGATCACATTTTAACTCTACAATGAATGTTGTAGTGACTTCTACTCTCTCGAGCTGTCTTTCTCAATTCCCGAGGCACATTTGACTTTGTCTGTCGCTCCATTCTGTTCTATGTGCTGAACTAGAAAGGGGTTCTCACTAAGACTGGGCTTCTACTTGAGTGTTATTCGGACAGTTATTGCGTGTTGTGTCAACGTTGAAGTTCCTGTGGCACTGAAACTATTGGAGAATTATGTGAGTTTCCCTTTTTGGCACTCTCCTGTTCCTATGCTCACTTTGAATGCACAGCTTGAACACGTCGACAGCTTTGTATACCTGGACAGCTGCGTGTCTTCTGATGGCGCTATCAGCAACGAAATTTCTCTCCACACCGCCAAAGTCCGGTCTGCCTTTGTCAGCCTGCAACAATCGTGGCGTCCTCGGGACTCTTGGTAACAAGTCCTGTTTCCAATGCTGCCGTTCGGGTAGTGTTACTATATGGCAGGGACTCATGGCCAGTTCGCGTTGATAACATGCGCCGGCTCTCGACCTTCGATAATGGGTGCTTGGGGAGCATTGCTCATGTGTGGTAGTCACAACGTATCTGCAACGGTAAATGTGAGTTTTCCCCTCAACAAGCTGGTTTTACTGCGCCAGTTAAGATGACTCGGTCACGTCTTGCGTATGTCAGCCGAGCGTTCGCGCTATCGTGTTCTGTTCGCACGTGCAGGACTTGAGTGGAAGAGACCACGTAATGGTCAACCATCCACCTGTCGACAGCATATGAAATCATTGCTTTCACCTCTTGCTGCCGTTGGATCTACATGCCTGCATGTTTGGGTACCTAAGGACGAAGTGAGTCGATGGATCGAAATAATACAGGATTTGGTGCGTAATCGAAACCAGTAAAAAATCTGTGCCTAACAATTAAAAACCGATACGGCGTGTTAACAAATAACGAAAAAGCTTCTGCTCTTCTTGCGGTACAACAGCTGAAGTGTTTTACTCACCTTCAACTAATATCCCATAATGATGCTGTGGCGATTCCACCTGCTACCCGCTGAATTTCATGGTTTTGTTTGGCTGTGTCTATTTACTGGACGGTTTATTTTTAATACTACTACTCTTGAGCTTATCATTAGGCAAGGAATTGATGACGTGCTCTGAAGACCTGATAGATCTAAAACGAAACCCCTGGTCAACCAATTACTGCCTGCGTATGCTGCACTAGCGGTGTCTGCTGTGTCGATTACGTGGTGAGAGATAGGGACATGAACCGAGGGTAAGGTAGGAAGGTCATTTGAGCAAAGGATAACACCAGTGCTTACAGGGAAGTACAGCCTGCAGGTGACCGAGGGAATAAGGGGTCTGCCTTGGAATCTGAAGGTCATCGATTCGAATCTGTATAGGTGCAAGCGACTTCTTAGTATACCTAGCCCGCATACGACAGCGGCTGGTCGCGTGGCAGCGACGCGCCGATATAACGTGCAGCGACTTGCTTATACCTTTACAGAAAAGAAATTCCAAGTATAGAAAAAAACTTTCATGTTACTTCCCAAGACCGTCCAAATGACGCTCAGAACCCTTAGCCCTAGATAACATGAGCAAAGTTTTTGGCAGCAAGTTACAACACTCGATAACCGAAGCTTCCACACACATACTCCCGTTGGTGACGATGACGACGATTTATTGCTTACGCTGGTTGACATCAGGGTTTGTGCAGTGTAGTACACGCAGGATTACAGGATGACGACTTTACGGTAGGTATTGTAGTGGAAAGGCCAAACGGAAAGGGCTTAACTACATATAAGAACTCAGTCTATAAATAAGAATGCTGTAGCTGACCATAGGTAAAGCACGATCTTCGCTAGGCTGTCAGTTAGTCGCACAATCCGGTCGGAAGACGGAACTCAGTCGACACAATAAATCGACGCGTTAGATCCGATGATCGATGGACAAGGCCAGCAGACAGACGACGACCAACAGCACAACACGCGGAGCCGAAACCAGAAGGCGAATCGAAACTCGAAAAAGTGTTTTATCGGTTGTTGGTCGGTTAAAACAAAACTGTACAATAATAATGGAAATGAGAATAGGAAAGTGCAGTTGGGAAGAAAGATATGTACAAGCGCTACAATACCTTCGATTAGGAAATATGCATGTTCTCCCACCGAAATGAGTCCTGTGGTGTTTACCGGATCTAAGAAGTCGTTAGACTTGCTAGATGCAAGCATTGGTGTATGTGTTGGGCGCTGTCGATCTATCTCGCTCTTCGTATATTGGGTTCACTCGGTCCACCTTGTGTCCCGCTCTAGAGGTCGAAGCGAATCGTCCGCAAATACAATCAGTGGTTCTGTCTTTGTTATCTCGACAGATTGCTTACTCAAACTGTGCTCATTACTGAGTTATCCGTGAAACAAGTGTGATTACTACTATAGACAGTAAAAGCCATCTAAAAGATGTCTCACCTCGCAGTGCTCGGAACGTTTAAGCATCTTAACTTCGAACCTTCAGTGAATTGTCACTCTTTTCCATCTGAATTAATGACTGTATGACAGCGAACGATAATTATAACGTATTTAATTTCCGTGACCAATGGCTTCATTTGTCCCGGCTTGGTAACTTTTACCGACGAGCCTAGCTCGAAACCAATTATGTCTCGGATGAGTAGATTGAGACGATAAAGTGCATGTTCGTCCGAATATCAATCCAGCTACCCTGGAACCCCTCAAATGTGTCATCATCTAGCTAGAACGGCGAACTGATGAGAGAGAAACAAACCTACGTATTGTAAATTTTCATTTTCGTTTTACAACACACACGCAAAATTCGGCTTAATCGATCGCTCACTCTTCAGGCACGCTTGGTAGTTCGTACCACAGCCTGCGTGTGGTCTTTACCAGCGTCTGCAGTCTTATGAACAAACGCGATGAGCTATGTCGTTTCGTTGCCTTCTAACGACCAGATGTAATGGAACTTGCAGTGACATGATTGAACGATGAGGTACTCATCCAGGAAGTTGAGCTTAGTGGATACTCGTGCTATAGGCCATCGATAGACTATCGAATGCCAACGTTGGCGTCTTGCTCTGAACTCCGTCTTCTCAGTGTGGGAGACTCGTGAACGCCTGCTGAAACGAAGATGGCCTATGCGAACAGTCGTAGTGCTCCACCCACCTCACGCGCAGAGCGCTGCTCGTGAATGCATTCTATCGCGGTCCTCTGAGACGCTGTTTGGACTGGTTGCCGCACCTCCGAGACCACATGAATCACCGTCATTTTCTACTCATAGGCGATTTCAATTGTTCTCGAATACGCTGACCTGATGTTGAACTTATCACTGGTTCTTGTGAGGCCGAAGCAATGTTTGCTTTTATGGTACTCGAAACTGGGGCAGCATAACATCTATCAACCGACGCGCATAACAGCGCACTCAACTTCATCGTGTTTAGACTTGAAGTTGACCAGTTGTGAACATCATCATCAGCAGCAGCAGTACATCAGCCATTTGAACTGATGCTTCGCTGCCATACAACCATGAGCACCTATGAAAAAGAATAAGAGGGACAGAAGGGAGACTTACATGAAAACCTTAATGCCCTAAGCAAACATTCAGGGTCAAGGCGCCTACACCTTGTGTAGACAACGTACCGTCACAAACAGCTGGCTATCGTGCAAAGATCAGGCGGTAGCAGCGCGACAACGTCCTTGCGGCTTTCACTGCCACGCGTCATAATCAGCCATCAGCCCGCAGATAACTCAGCAACAAACACTCTAAACAGGCAATCCGATTAGGAGACAGCAGCAGACGCGCCACTGGTGTCGGTTGCGAGCCATGTCCTGTAAAGTCTCCAGCCAAGCACAAGGCGAGTCACGTGGACTCCAGCCCAGAAGACGAGACGGACCAACGGCACCCAGTTTGGTCGTCAGTGACTTCATTTCCCGCTGCCAAGTCAACTTCTGTCTACCTCGAGCCTCGCGCCACCCTACACCGGGTAGACTAAACAAGGCCCTCCTGGGTAAGCAGTGACCAGGCATACGTAGCAGGTGCCCGAGCCAACGCAACTTATTCAGTGCTATCTGTTTTTCCAACGAGCTACCACGATTGTCACTATCTAGTACTCGTCTACGCACATCATCGTTGCGGACACGCTGGTGCCATCCGACTCTAGCAATGCTTCACAGACAACGATGATCAAACGCTTGAAGGCGCCTCAAATCTTCAGATGGAAGGGGCGAAGTCTCACTACCATAGGGCAGCACGGCCCTCACTGTGGCCTTGTATACACGGTCTTTCAGACGAAGGGAAACTCCCTTCTGTCGCCAAAGATGCTGCAGGCTCAAGAAGGCAGCTCTGGCCTTTGCAATGCATCAGCTGACGTCAGTTTCTATGCGCCCATGAACGACGACGCAGCTGCCAAGACAAATGAGATGGTCAACCATTATGGTCAACCATCTCGAGTTCCTCGTTAGTAAGGGTCAAGGGGTCATCAAGTGGCCGGTGGTCCTGCAGCAACACTGTGAACTTTGAGGGTGCGAAGTGCATACCAACTAATCGCACCACTCTCGACAGGCTATTCAGGGTTGATTGCGCCGTCCCCACATCGTCGAAAAGCAAGACGATATCGTCCGGACGAAGAATGTTCACATATTTCGTAGGAACACATTTCCGCGCAAGTATTTCGAACAGAATCGATCGATCGACAACATCAAACGCACTCTTGAAATCGTCGAACACAGCTATTGTCGGTCTGCGGTATGCATGGCGCTGCTCTAGCACCTGCCGCAAAGTAAATATATGGTCTATACAGTCACGTCCTGGGCAGAAACCGGCCTGCTCTTCTCTAGTCCGAGATTTCCGTTCCACAGTGAGGCGACGAACCAGGATCGAGGCCAGTAATTTTGTCACAACTAGCGATAGGCTAATACCCCTGTGGTTAGAACAGTCTGTGCGACTGCCCTTCTTGTATATTGCCACTATAATCGATTCGCTCCAGTTATCCGGCACACTTCCTTCCACATACGTTCGAATAGGGAGGTCAGTGCTTTTCAGAGGACCTCACCTTCATCCTTAAATATTGCAGGTGGGAGGGAATCCGGGCCAGCGGCACGAAGAAGATTGAGGGCTTTGATCGCATTTCGGACATCCGCGTCCGACAGAGATTCTAAACTAACCGTCCATGGTTCGTTCCGCATCACCAGAGTACGAAGAGGTCCGGGAGCAGGGGGCCAGTTAAACTTATCTTGAAAGTGTTCCGCCCAACGAGCCATACGGCGCTCCTTGTAGTGTATCAGTGCACCTGCGCTGTCTGGTTGTCTCACTGACGCCTGGTTTCCTGAGACCAGTGGTGCGGATCAGCTGGAAGAGCCTGCGATAATTGCCTACTGCTCCTGCCTCCTCCATTTCTTGAGCCCTACTGGTCTACCAGGTTTCCTTGTCAGCACGTAGGCTCCGCTTTAGTTCGCGCCTAATACCCAGTGTGGTCACATTGTGCTCAGACCAAGCCGAGTGGTTTCTTCCAGATTCCAAAAGGTTTACCGATCTCTCGGATATCCAGCGACTGGTGCGATGACGATTGATAGGGTCACAAGCAGATGCTCCTGCGTCCTGCATGGTGGTCGAGATCCTATTGCACTGAAG